AACTCACCCAGTGCCCAGACCCAGGCTGCATCCAGACCCACCTCTAGTGGTAAGGTAAGTGGTATAAGGTAGCTGTGGGGGTTAACATGGTAATCCCTTGTCCTGCTGCTGTCAAAATACATCCCCAGAAGAGCTCTGTATGCTAGAATTCAGCTGCAGGTCCCACCCCTGGATTTCTGGCCCCTCCAGGATCCCCTCTGGCCAGATGACATGGCTCTGAGGGCTACATCTTTGATACCCCCACTGGACTCGTTGAGGGCTTATGGTAAGGGTGAGTTGCCTCCTAATAACAGATGGCAGTGTTACCTGAACCAGAGCCAAGGTGAGCTGAGGCCCATTTCCTGACTGGAGTTGGAAGTACTCTTTGAGGAAACTCAAATTTGCATCCTACATGTACTGTGTGGGCTAAAGTTTAGAGGTCCTGGTGACCCCCTTCCCACCCGTGACTCTAACTAACTAATCATGGACCTTGGGAATAGTTCTTGTTAGCCTGGATGAAGCCAGCTCAAAGGTCTTTGGTTGTGAAGACTTCAGCGTGTACCAGAAAGAACCCAAGTCTGACATGAATCAAGATGGGATGCAGAGGGTGGTAAAGAACTGCAGACAAACTTTAGTAGATGTCATGACCCAAAGGCATGATTTTGTGTGTGCTTCGGCACCAGAATTATCCCCGACAAGTTGCAGCTTCATTGCACGGGAGAGTTTCTTGTTGCAGAGGAAAACCCCGGTGCAGGGACGAGTTTCCCACCTTTCTGCAGCTCCTTTTGCAGGGTTCATTGCTCAAGTTGCAAGAGAAATGCACGGTGCAAAAGAGTTCCCGCCACCGGTATGCAAATTCGTTCCCCGCTATTGGCTAGTTTTAAATTATTCCCATGTGGCGGCTAACGATTGGCCTGTTAGCCATATAAGAGGCTTGAGCAGTTTCTGCCCAAGCCAAAGAGGACTCCGCATCCATCTCGTGGGGACTCTGGGTACACGGCAGGGTAATATAGACCCTGTGTGAGATTCAGAGGAGCTTGGCGACCTGATCCATCGCCTGCCTCTTCCTGTCTTCGAGTGCAAATTTTATAAGACGTATCTACGATTTCGATTTTGGTGGCGCATTCACCCAGAGCATCCGGAGCTCTGTTCCGTGGAGCCTAGCAAACTCCACGTGACCGTCCGTGTTGTCTGTGTCTGTAACCGCAACTCAAGCAAGTTTTCCAGCCTACACCACTGCCATCTCGGTGTAAGTAAACAATCTTTAAAACTACCGATAAGCATTTGTGCCTAATTACAGCTCGTCGCCCTCCCTTTCCAATCCAGCGTGCCCGGGCTGCTGGCCACAGCCCGCGTGCAGCACGAAAAAGGGCTCGGGTCGCTCCCGGCCCGCACAGTAGACACAAATAGTTTACTTCTTAACTTTCTCTTAGTTGCCTGGATAGTCCTTGGGAACTGAAATACTTAATCAGATGCATCTTCACTGCAGGGCTCAAGGGCAGTCTAGTTTCTTTATTACCAACTGCTCAGATGAAAAATTAAGCCTCTCACAGAACCTTGAATAAACACTTGTCATGTTAGCTTCTGACTAGTCACTGTTGATAAATATTGAAGAGCTAGTTCCTGAGAGATGAGTTTTCTGTCCTATCATTTCTTGTGCAGCCTTTTGGCTTTTGCTGCAGCAGAGGCTGCAGTTATTGATTTCAGCTATTACGCAGATGTCTGTACATCTACTGGAAGATGCCTTCTCTAAATCCTTCCCCAGTCTCCATTGTTGAACCTTCCCCTTACAAAGTAACTCGTGTCTGCTATTGCTAATAGTTTTATTTGCAGAAGAGGGACTATGAATAATTTAGTATACTAGGCACTAAAGAATGACACCTCATAGCTGCTTTCCCAAGGAGTGGTTTGAAAATGACATTTTTGACAGTTTTAGTTGCCTGTCAGGGTTTGAATAGCAGCAATGCAAATGTATTGGAGCTTTAATTTGAATTATAAGGAGATATGCCAATCTTAATTTTAAAAGGTTATTGTCATCTTGAAGTCTGGTCTCTTTAAAAATTAGAAATTCCAGCTGTTACCCATGTGAGCCCCTTGTTACAGTTTATGATTTGAAAAACCACATTCGGTTATTTTTTAAAGATATGTTTAAAGATATGTTTTTCCTTTTGCTGTGGAAACAACCATACAAACAAGAAGAAAGGTATAGTGCAGTGGTTCTCAACATTGTTAGACTCAGAAAATGCCCCTCAGAAAATGTCAGCACTTTTTTTTTACTGTGGAAAATTAATAGACGAGTTCCATTGTAAAGAACTCAGCATGTTTTTGACACCGGATTCCTGTTGGAAATATCAGTTTATCAGTGAATCATGTAGGTGTTTGCATGCCTAACAGATCTAATATTATGTGGCACCCCATGGCACCCTTAAAAGGCTCTTACAGCACCCTAGGGTGCCAGTTGAGAATCATTGGTATAGTGAAACTTAAAATGAACAGCTGTCCAATGCACAAAGTAAAACCATGGGAATTTCTTTGTTGGTCTCAGTCATAATAAATTAAGGTTAATTGACCCCAAATTGATCTATTGTCTGTGTTTCAAGTCCATCCCATTCTTTTAAATTTTGTTTATTGTGCACGTGACTGGTAGAAGCAGTGGAGCATCTTCAAACTGAGGAAAATGAGCATTGACCACTTCATCCTCATTTCATGTTTAGAAAGCTTCCCTTCCAGCCATAAGGACTACAAACCATCTTATTTTGGTATTGATGCTATGGCCAGGTTAGGAAGAGAAGTGTGTTTTTTCAAGCTCTGCCTTTGAGTTCATTGTGCCTAGGTGGATTATTTTTTAAGTATGTTTATTGCAAAACAAGCATCTTCAAAATTAAGTCTGGTATGCCATTGATTATCTTGTTCTAAAAACATAAAAGAGCTGAAAGCAATGTTTCCACAGGCATCAAAGATATTAACTGGGATGGAAAAACAGTTAAAACTATAGCAGTCTTCAGTCTCTAGTATGCAAGGTAACCCTGTACAATGTATTTGTGTTACTGTCACTTAAAGATGAGGGCCAGGTCCTTGGGTCCTCAGTAAGTCTTGTTTTGTGTCCCTCTAATGGCATGAAAAGGAAGATTCCCTTTGTATAGAGGAATCCTCCAGTAGCATAGAGCTAACAGATCTCACTCTATGCCATTCCTTTCCACTGCCAGTTGCAGCCTCTGGTGCCAAAGGAGTGGCTGCAGAAGAGTGGGCTGTTGTCAGTGCCCTTGGGCTAGAGCAACTGATTGCCAGAATTGCCCCTTGTTATAAATAGTAGTACAGAAAACAGAGAGTTACTGTGACTTGTTCCTTGGGATGGGACTGGTAACCCAGTACCCCGTGAGTGTCAGGTGTAGTATATATTCTACTTGAAGTAACCTCTAGCTCTGTAAACCAGGTGAGGGGTGTGGGACTAGTCTGTGGGCTAGATTGGGCCCACAGACTGGCCCCATATGTTGGAGCCAGCCTGTTGGGTCAGTCTGGTGCAGGTACTGCATGCAGCGTGTGCCTTGAATCAGCCCTGTGTGCAGCTGGCAGAGCCTGCCCCAGCTTCAGCCCCACACACCATATGCAGCATGTGGCATACCATGTGTGAGGCCAGTACATGTGGCACCCACGCCAGACCAGCCCTGCATACTGGCTTCAGCATGTGGGGCCAGTCTGTGAGCCTGATCCTGACCAGCCCCAGATGCTGCTTATAGAGCCAGTCTGGTGCTGCTCTAGCCTGCAGCACACACCCCAGACTGGTCGGTCCTTCATGTTATGCGCTGTAAACACTGGCTCCTACTTGTAGGCACATGCAGCCTGTGCCAAATGGGCTCCATGTGCACCACATGCAGCGAGGCAGGGCTAGGGCCAGCACACACTGCATGCAGTACACCAATCTGAAACCCCAGGTAGGACTGAACTGGGTGATAGGGCCCTGTTGGCCAGATCTGGCCTATGGACCGTATCTTTGACACTCTAGCTCTAGCAGAATGTAAGACTATTGAGCAGCGTGTAGTGAGTGGCACAATTGAGCTGAAGTATTTTTTTTCAATAACATATTTTTGTGTACTGACTTCTTCTGATTGCCATATAGATAGAGTAATAAGTTCAGAGCTGCTACGTGTTGCAGAAGCCTGCATCATGAGGTTTCTTATCTGCAAGCACTCACTGGAGTGATTTAGACTTAGTACCAGTCATTCCCTAGTCACTTTTTCTCTTTGCTTGTTTCCCAGTTTCTCTGCCATTAGGCTTCTTTTAGCTCACATCTACCATTTCCCATTTGTGTTTCTGAATAGCTGTTTGGTTTACCACTGCCTGTTTTCCCCAGCACCTGGCTTTTTTCAACATAATTTGGATCAGTTTTGTTATTTATATATGTTTTTGCTAGTTGGCTGAAGAATGTAAAATGAGGGCTTCGTGTTTATTTTGTAATACAAAATGACATTTCCACCTATAACATCCTCATTTTGGAATCTTAATGAAAACGTTTTTTCTCAACTGTAATTTTTCTGTTTTTTCCTTCTAGTTTTTGGACATTGCCTCTGGATGAATAATGGGGGAGATTGAGGGAACATATCGAGTCCTGCAGACTCCTGGTTCTCGTTTGGGAGTCCAGAAAAACAGTGGAGTGAGCACACTGGAGCCTGGGCAGAACCTCTCTACCACAATGGCATTAACACCTAGCAAAGTCCATGAGAGGGATCTACACATCAAAATAAAGATGTTGGACAATACTGTGGAAGTACTTGACATTGAGGTAAGAAAGTTTTGGACTGTTTTCAAATGCACATGGTTTCAAACAGTTTAAAATCTGCTGGATTTACTAGTGTACAGTGACAAAGCTTTGTAACCTCTGGAAGGAGAATCACGTAAGAGTTGAGAAGGGCTGGTACTGCTCCAGAGCATAAAGTACAGGTCACTATACAGAGGCCTCCTCAGTGGCCTGCCTGACATCTGCAAATTTAGAGGAGCAGTCACAGATTTAGATATTATAGAATCTGAAGGATGTCAAACACTTTGTGAAAGCATGCTTTCCTCAAACTTTCCACAAGCATTTATGATGGTAAAGAATAGTAACTGTTTATTGTTCTGGTGGAACTCCAAGTATCCTTTTCTCTTTTTTGTCAATGGCTTTTCCTTCTTAAGAAAAGGCTCAGCTCTGTGATGTAAAGGTAGATAAAGCATTTTCTCAATTCTAGCTCTCACTGTGCTGCTCAGATATATTTGTGACTGGCTCCCTTCCCTGCTACTTGGCAGTAATTCTGTAACAGTGTGAAAGGAGCATTTCTTAAAAAGGGGTATATTCAGGTATAGATCAGGGTTGGGCAGTTATTTCAGCGGGAGGGCCATTTAATGAGTTTTAGTGAGCTGTTGAGGGCTGCACACGCACAGTCTTTCAGAAGATATTTTAACAAATTATAGATAAAAAAACAAATTGTGTACTAAAAATCAAACATCTACTATAACGTATTTTTTTTAAACATTTTTTGTCTTGATTTGTTGTTTTTTAGTAGTATATATAAAGGCAATTGCATAATAGCTCAGAATAAAATTTTATTCTTATATAATTGGGGGGAGGGAGGGCAGCCACCTGTGGGCAGCTGAGTGGCTGGAAGGTGGCCATGAGCTGGAGCTGGGGCATCTGCTGCCCAGCACACATCTCCACAGCTTTGCCACATTATCAGCTGCCTGGAGTAGTGCAACAGAGACAGGAGGGGGAGCCGCTGGAGGGCTGGGGAGCCAAGCAGCATCTTGGTGGCTGTGGCAGCAGCCCTGCAGGGAAGCTGTGCACACTGGCCGGGGCGGGGGGTGATGCTGTCTGGAGGGCATGGGGTGAGAGGACAGTGTGGGCTGCTTTGGGCAGGAGCAGGCAGAGCCCCTGGCTGCTTAGAAGCTGGACAACCCTGAACTAAGTGTGTTTTATTCAAAGGCTACTTCAAGAGCATGAAGAGGAGCTAAAGACCATTAAGTCCACATTGCAGGCTACCAGCTCTCTATCCTTACAACTGTGCTGAATGCACATCATAGGTGCCTCTTCCTATACCACTATACAGTTTCTCTCCCATCAAAATTGGGGTTGATATCAGTGTTGAGAACCTATAGATGTTGGAAATTGTAATCAAGAGGTCTTCCATCTATTTCCCATCCCTTCCCACTCATTACCATCCACCCCCATCACCGTCTCATGTTTACTGTTAAAACAGGTAGACTTCATTTAATAACTTGAAGCAGTGTTAGAGGTATTGCAAAACCTTGAGTGTAGGGCATTTTATTCCCATTATTTTCCTGCCCCAAAGAGTAAAAGGGATCAGTGTCCCATTCTGGACCTCTGGTGTCTCAGCAAATTCCTCTTGAACTTGAAACATTGAATGGTGGCTTTAGCTTATAATTCCTTCATTGTATCCTCCAGACTGATTGTGGCTTTAAACCTGAATTATGCCAGTTTTCACACAGCCATTTATCCAGCCAGTGGGAAATGCCTTAGCTTCCAGATTGGAACCAATGCAAGTTATCAGTGCAGGATCCTGATCTTAGATCTTCCCACAGTACTATAATATCTGCCAAGTGCTCAGCAGCCCCTTAAAGTGATAAGGAATTTGGATATGCTCATAAGTGAATTCAAGGAAGATGACCTCAGTAGATCAGTGGTTGGCAGTATTTTGGGACAGTGTGCCCAAAACACTCACAACCTCGCCTTGTAAAATGTTGGCAGGCCAGGGGGGGACGGCAAGGGAGCCATGAGGGACCTGACCCTTGTTGCGGCAGCGCAGCCCTGGCCCCTTCCCTACCATTGGCCCCAAGGCATGCGTGCCAAGCAAAATGCCTTCACGTGCCATGCTCTGGCACCCATGCCAGAGGTTGTCTGCCCCTGCACTAGATCATCATTTCAGTCCAAATGACTGTAAAGCTCTTTGCACCAAACCTCAAAGTCAACAGAAAAAAACAACATAGCAACTCTGACTCAAAGCATAATGTTTATAGGACAAGTCAGATAGAGTTTACCTCTCACAGGGAAGATTCTAGACAATAGCAAACATCATCATATTCAGGCTCATCCAAAAACAACACTAAGGATATGTCTCAGAGTTTTGGGACACACGGATTCATGAAGCTGCATGACCCAGCTTTCTAGTCTTCAAATATGTCCCATGGAAGCTTATTTCAAATTCATGCATCTACCCTGGACACAGTGGCTGGTTAAGGTCCTGCAAGATATTCTCTGCTTATTTAACCTGGTATTCCAGTTTGGTGTGCAGTTGAGTACCCTTTTCTGTAGCTCATCCTATCAAGATCCTGGTGACAGACAGCTCTCTTCAGTGTCTCCTTTAGATTGCCATCTGATCTGGAGCTTGTGGTCCCCTCAGTATGATTCCCTCCCCAGATACATCCTAGAACTTAGAACTATTTTCATGGCATGCAAGCTGTTTCCACTGCCACCCCAGGGACCCACAGTCCAAGTTCTTGCAGAATAAGTTCAGAGCAGAAAAAACTTTGCTCTGTCAGGACACCTTTTTGGCTCTGAAACTGGTAGTTTCCAAAGCAGAACACACCAGTGGCTTTTCATCTGCCTGGCCTTCAGAACCCCTATGTGAATCAGATCAGCAGATCTTTGCAACTAGGAAATAGATATTTGACACAGGCCAGAATAAATTTGTTGGTCACATGGAACACGTGTCTTTCTGCTGATCTGCAGGTCATAAGTCAACAGCTAAAAATGTGGTATGCTTGCTTTATTTATATTAAAGACCAGAATATATAATCATAGACGTCTCAAACCTTGAATATTCATCAGCTGCCTTTTATGTCTAAACTTGTTTTACTTTATCCAGTTATCTACTTTCAGACAGTGCGCTGCTATCCCATCATTTAGCATTCTATAAAGCTCAGTATTTTAGGATGTATTAGTGATGTTTTGTAAGGTTGTTATAATGTGCCTACATCTGAAAATGAGTTGTGTAGCTGGCAGGTTGGAAAGAGGATGGTTACAGAAGAGTGCTATTGAACATTACTCATCTTAAGAGTTCTAAGTTGTCTAAAGACTGAGAACTTTCTCCATGGTACTTTATAAAGCTCACTTTTCTATGTGATGAATGAGAATTGTTGGCAGCTTCTTTACCTTGCGAACATGTTAAAAAAATAAGGCTGACAGAATTATAACTTGACACAGCTGTGAATTTTGCCTCCTTTTATTCTGCTTTATTCCACCTGTATGAAAACTTAAAATAAAATTTAAAAGTCTTTTTGTTTCGAAAACCAGAACTGAGAGCAAAGGAAGATCAGGGGTGGTTCAGGCTGCCTCGGGTTTGAACCATGACGATAGTGATTCTACTCCTATGTGTACTTCTGAGAAGTTTTCAAAGATCCAAGCAGGTGGAACTTTCTAACTCTGAGTGAAAGGTTGAATTAGCAGTTAACTGCTAACAGGTTTCAGCATGGTTTGTATCAACAATGATCCTTGTATCAACAATCCATGAGGAGTTCTTGAGTTATCCAAGGCTGAGAGCTGTGTTATGGAGGATTGCATTCAATTGCGCCACTCAAAGGTAAAATAATTCATGGTGGCCAGTTAGGTACTTCAGCTTGTCTCTAAACTCCCTAACAGAGGAGAGGGATGAGAGATCTGGACAAAGTTAGTCTACAGATAACTTATGCTTTACTTTATATTGTCATTAGTTAGAAGTAGGGACACACACTTCTCAGTTGCAAAAATGAGAGAAATTAAAAGGACCAATTGTTTGTCTTTCTGTCTTGACAGCCTTAGTTCTATTCTCTTCCTCTTCTTGGAGAACTGTGAGTCTTGCAAGACAAGGTTGAGGAGTCTCT